GCACCGGTGCTCATTAGATCATTTGCTCATCTTATCCTAAATACCAATGAGTTGGCACATTAATTCATTGGTGGATTGGAACTCACAAAATCTAAAACTATTTTACTATTTTCAAAATGGGTTAGATTATGATCAAACGATACCTTTTGATCAACTAGCAACATTTTGGATGAAAACCTTCCAAAAGTCCTTCCACCGTACAAGTTTGAAAAGTTCGAAATCAGTGTTATTTCAAATTAAAGGTTTGTGTAAAACCTAAAACTTTTGGAAGCATTATCCCTTAAATAATGTTGAACAATACATATAGGGTCAATGCAACTTAGACACATGAATAGTGTTAAACAGCATACTCGCCAATTTAAGTGCAATTTTCTCTATAACTTATATGACGATTAAGCAATAATCCAATAGAAATAAATTAATATTATTGGAGGAAAAATAAAACTGTATAATGAATTAATGATAATCCATCTAAGGTTTTTGTATTTGTCACATTTTCCTTCCGTCTCCGACTCTCAGGTGCTTCATCCCTGCAGCCGGAAGACCCTCATCCCATCCCACAGGCATGTATGAACACACAATTGGATACACAGAAGTAATATGCTAAAGTATTAAGTCCTTTTTGCTTAATTTTTGCAGATTGTAGATCAATTGCAATTAATCATCGCAGAAAATCAGAAATCTTTTTTAATCTGTTGCAATGAGGAAAAGGGCCCGACACACAGCAACCAGGGTTAGTCATCTTATTCTAATTTACATCGAGAAAATTGATTTTTCAATAATCATTTATGTGGTTTTCTGTTAATTTTTCTGTTTAAATTTGTCTGTATATAATTCAGTATTACATATCGTGATATATTAACTGAAGAGACCATCGTATATTATATAAATTTGATACCCACTTCTATTAGTAGATAAAACTGTCGACCCTTATGTTCATGGTTGTAATTTTATTATCATCATTTTAATTTTTTATTTTTTTTGGTGATGAAGGAGGAATATAATTCCGAGGGTTATATTAGTTCTTTGCCGGATGATATTCTTGTTTCAATAATATCACGATTACCGCTTAAGGAAGCTGCAATTACTAGTAATGTATCAAAGACGTGGAGGTACCTGTGGACAAATTTAGCTACACTAGATTTTAATGCTAATGACACATTGGATAGAATAGCTGCAAATCCCAAACTGCGTAGCTCTGAGAGGCCAAAATACATTAATTGGGTGAACCGAGTTGTGAGGCAGCATAGTGGGTCCACATTGAATGCATTCCGGATTTGTTTTGATTTGGACAAGAGTTCTAAGTCTGCAATCGATAATTGGGTTAAGTTTTCAATTGCGAAGAGGGTTCAGAAGCTTGAGTTGGATTTGTTGGAAAATGGGGAAACCCTTCGCCAGCCCTCGCGCAACTATGTTTTCCCGCACAAGCTTTTGAGCCAATGTAAAGGGTCTTCACTGAAGCATATCCGTACAAGTTTTCCTGGAATGCAGCCTTGTGCGTTAAGTGGGTTGAAGTATCTTAAAACATTGTCTTTGAAATGCGTGAATGTGAGTGAAGAAGCATTGGAGTATTTTCTGTCCAACTGTCTAGTTCTTCAATCTCTATCAATACATGGCTCAGGGGATTTAGTGAATGTGAAAATTAGTGGCTTAAAGCTTAAGTTGAAGTACCTAGAGATTGTGTTCTGTTTGGGCTTAGAATCTATTGAGATCTCTAATGTGAACCTTGTCTCGTTCAGTTATTTGGGGCCTGGGATCAATTTGCTTATTGAAAATGTTCCAATGCTCAGCGAGATCTCCATTGGTGAGGGGTATTCTGGGTTGGAAAATAATGTTTTTGGCCAGCTTTCTTGCTGTCTGTATCAGTTAGAGGTTCTTACGTTGGACATATATCGTCCCGAGGTAAGTAAATTAGCCATGTTCATTTTTCTTGTTGTTAGTTTATACTGGATACATAATCTTGCTTCTTACCTTGGTTCTCATTTTTCAGGAGAACATAAAGGTTTTTGCTTTCCCTAAGTTACCCAACTTGAAGCAATTAATATTAAAAGTTGGAGCATGGGACGATGATAGTCTTCTTGAGTTCAGTTCCCTTATACAGGCTTGCCCTTATTTGCAAAGATTTGTGTTGCAGGTGTGTTTTTCTAACCTAGTATTTGGAATGCCTCCCGGTTTAATAGTTCTTATATGTCTATCATCAAGCACTATTTATTCAAAAGAAATCTGGTTTTCCATTAGTTGCTAATTGAGTGCCAAAACAATGACAGTTCCATTAATACAAATCTCTGATTTAGCAAGTTTGATCAATACTTCCTAGTATAGTTTTACTTTTTTAATGATTTGAAGAAAAATAAGAAATAACTTCTCAATGACTTCTTGTTCTTCATATGCATATCTCATAACTAAATCTACGCAAAATGCTACTTTACTGAAATGGCTAAAGTATCTGACTTCGCTAGAGTGAGAACCCAACAGTTTCGATTTTAAGAAACTGAACATGGCTACTCGAGATCTATGTCCATTAAATCCTACTACTGTTTCCAACCAGGCACCATCCTTATCGATAAATCCCAAGTTACTAATGAGATACATGGTCTGAAGGAAAATACTCTTGCTGCATCATTTTTGGTTAGAATATCAATGCCTATTTTGGCAGTTCTGTTACTTTCTCGACATGGGATGTAGTTATGTTCTATGGTCTATATTCGTGGTTTATATCCTAGATTTTATTTAGAGTTCTTGTTATTTGGAACTGGAGTTTAGTGGAGAAATATTGCTTAATAATGATGGAAAAAGAACACTCTCGATAGTTTCCATGATCAGTATTTGCTTACAGAAGAATGAAATTAATTATTCAGATGATTTTCAGGCTAGTACAGAGTGTGGGAGACAACTTCATTGAGATGTGAATCCACTTGTGTCGGGAATGTCATGCTTTCTGACTGGCGTTGTTCAATATAAGAAACTCTGTAATACAACTCGAATGTGGATGATAAAAGAAAATATTTTCCAACTTTATTTGTTTTTTTGGGATGTCTATTCGTGACAGATTAGGTATCTTTAGTGGGTCTGATTCGTCTGAACTGTCTATAATAATTATAACTCTTTCATGTTTGACTGGGCAAGAAATAGTATTAATGATTAAATTCAGTGAATTATATTGGGTTTCGCTGTGTCTTTTAGTTCAGCTTGATATTTACTGCTGGTTTTCTTTGAGAGAATTTCAGTTAATTTTTCTATTCAGCACCCTTGCATCAAGAAATAAAGGAAATTACATTTATAGGGTGTTTGGTGGGGATTAAAATTAGATTTTTATTGGATTGTGATAGAAGTTTTTGAAATATGTGGTTGAAAAGTTGTGGGACCTATGAAAGATGTGGTTAATATTGATTGTTTGGCTTTGACTTGGATTAAAATCAGATTTTAATTTGGACCAAACTGGGGCTTAATTAATAAAATGCAGATATTTTGTAGAATGACATTATATTACATTGGTTTTTGAATTAATTAATCTCGAAGTTGTCCTTGTATATAGCCTATTCAGGTGTATATGTTTTGAACTTATTGTTCAGTGAGGTTAATGAAAGCAGAAAGATCCAGAAATTTGTCAATTTGTAATTGCTATACTCCTTCGTCTTGTTTTCTTCTTTGAGTTAGACTCAAATGCTTTGACCCTAATTATATTTGACCAATTTGAGTGCCTTCTGGGCTCTAGTTTCTTTATATACAATTGAACAATAACAAAATCTTGTCTTGTGTGATTTGGAGTTGGAATCAAATGTTCTGACCTATCCTTCTTGCAGTTGATATGGATGTCGCCCTCGAAGAGAAGAAGAAAAATAAGGCAGGCCGCAAAATTTCCACTTGAGTACCTGAAAATGGTAGAGATTGCTGGCTATTATGGTCGTACTAGTGATGCTGAACTTGTCATGTACTTTATCGAGAATGCTGTTTCCCTCCAGAAAATCGTTATAGATCCACGCAACCAAATTTTGGATCGAACTCCTGTAAGGATTGCTCAAATGAAAAAGGAGGAAGCTGCTCGGAAACGTGCCAAACAGCAGCTTGAACCAAAAAAGCCTCCAGGAGTCCATTTAATTATTCTTTAACAGTATGGTTCATGCAACTCCTATGGGATTTAGAATTGCATATCTGGTTCATTATACTCTATATACCTATACATATTCTTATACTTAATTTCAGTTTCTAGAATTTGTTGTTGGCATTTCATAGCTGCTATTTGTTCAATTCACTGCTACTATGAAGTTCGTGCTGATCTATCAACCTATAGATGCTTGATAGTTACTGACATACTGCAAAGTTTTGCAGATTACTTGTATCGAATTTGGACAGTACAATTTTCTTTTTATGTATACTTTGTATTTCGGATTTCCAGCCTATTACTGTAGTTAGAACTATTGCATATTTGAAATGAAGTTCTATTGTGTTGTTAAAGTGTCAAACCTTTATTTATAGATTAATTGCTATAGTGACTCAATTATTTGTTGAATTCAGTAGGATTGAAGTACAGAACTAAAAGAAATTTATGTTTTCAAATTCTGATCTTTGTTTAGTTGACTGCTTAGTTCATAGTTGCTATGCTTTAGATTTTGGAGTAGATGTAGCAACAAAGTCGAACATAGTGTTTGCTGGTATTGTCGTTCAATAGACGTAGACTGTCATCCGGATTGAGTATTTGTACAATATGGTTAGAGTAAGTAACTGAAAATTACAAATTTTCCTTATGGCCTTAGTGGAAAAATTGGCTTGAGGCAAAACTGAGCATACCTGTTACATGCCTTCGCAATTGTTCCTATGATAATAATGTACATTTCAATTTAATCAACAAAACTTGGGGAATCCTTCTCGCAAGTCACAACCACCCCACGCTAACACGGAGACGTGGAGTAGTAGTTCGAATAATGTTATCTAACATTAGTGGTTTTTAACACCAATCTAAGTGGTAACATATCAGATGTCCGATTAAATGGATCATAATTCTCTGCACGTCACTAATGCTATCAGTTAGACGGGTGTCAGTGGTGTTAAAATTATATTAGTCCAGAGAATTCCAGTTAAAAGACAAGTGTTAAGAAAGATATGGTTATTTTGTTTTATTGTTTATTAATGATAGAATAGTCGGTCTTTTCAATTTCTTTTGTTTAGCCTATATATAATCTTTTTGTATCTAGGTTAAATTATCTTTTCGTATTCAATTGCATTATGTAGAATCAATGAAATCCTAACCTCCTTTTTTTCTTTATTTCTTTGGATTGTTTAATATGGTATTAGAGCTAAATTTCATGGGACGAGGCTTAATCTTAAACAGAGGTTTCGCGAGGGTTTTCATTTAGTTTCTCCAATTTGGTATTTCGTTTTCCTTTCTTTTGAGATCTAGTTTTCCTTATTTTTTTTTATTATGACTACTAAAAGAGACGATTCGCTTAAATCTGTGAATGTGAGGTTGGATGGAAAGAATTATTCGTATTGGAGTTACGCGATGAGAAATTTTCTTAAGGGGTAAAAAGATAT